TCCCCTGCAAGCATGCCGGGTCCATTTCTTCTTTCTGCCGTCTGGATTTGAAGCCCAAGAGACTCCTGACCAGCCCAGGTTGAGTTGAGGGGAGAGTGAGGTCTGTTTGTTTCCATACTGTGGTCTCCAGGACACCTTCTTCAGTCCTTCGTATTCTTAGGAACAAAGTCACCCTTTGGCAGGAAGAGAGCCCTTGGGCGCCAGCAGCCAGAGTTTGGTTTCAAGTCCCTAGCCTCTGAGACGCAGTACCAGTTTCTCTGTCAAATGCAGCCTGCCCCTTCTCTGTCCCTTTCAACCCCTTGGGCACAGAGGTAAAGTCCTCAAAATAGAAACCTTTGAAGATTTGGTCTGCTGCACTTGTGAATCATTATATTGGTCTAGAATTCCAGTTTAATTTCACAGGACTTGAGAAATAAGTGTTGTGCTTTTCTTTTCAAGTCAACTTTCAAGAACAGTTGACTACACAGGGCTGGAAGGGCCTAGATGTTCTTCTGGGAGATAGTGGGATGATGTCCACAGCAGATGCAAGGGCCGGGCTGCATGAGTTCCAAATGCTATTCTTAACTCCAGACCTATTCCCGGATGTATGACCTCAGTCAGCTAAGTTTATTGCTAAGCTCCTGTTTCCTCCTCTAAGAAGTGATTTTCATAAAGTCCACTAAAGCAAGGATTACTTGAGGTCATAGACATCAGAAGCGCAGGTCAGACACTCAACACCCTGGGGCGTAAAAGTGCTGGTCCGTCCTTCCACACAGGTGTGAGGCCCCTCTGAGCATCTAACTCTTCAGGGCCTGATCCAGCAGCTAAACCAGTACAGTACACACCTCCTCAACTTGCTTCCAGCTTGACTGATACCTTTTTTTTCTTTTCTTGCTGGGCACCAAGGATAACTAAAATAGGAACATTTTGTTGTTGGATTTGCTTTTGTTTTTTGCTTCTACCCCAGGATGGGTTAATCTCATATGATGATATCCATAACCCATACCAGTAGTAATCCTAACAAAAAGTGTATTGAATGCTTTGTGACTGCCAGGCCTTACGCCAAGCTTCCTCTGCCTGTTACCTCATTTCAGAACTCATTATTACATTCCAAAGGTGCGTGGAAATTCAGGGGCAGGTCTGGTTCCAGAGTTTTCATTCTTCCTACTGCTTCTTGGGAAGATGCAAACAAATGTGTACCATAAATGCCAGGCTAGGACACCAGCGAGTGGGCAAAGCAGCACGCCCACTCAAGTCCAGCTTGGCAGACCAGTGAGTTTATAGGGCTGACTTTAGAGCATGGGTGAGGGGTGTGGACCCTAAAATGGCCTCCCCCATTGACAAGGCTCACCCAGCATAGACAACTGTCCCATAGCCACATAGATGGAGTCTCCCCTTTGTCTAACCTTGCACACACTATATACTCTAGCACCCCCTAATGCCATGAGACCACATGCAGTGTGGACAGAATTCCATACAGCTGAGAGAGAGTAGGAAGGAGTGATTGGGTCTCAGATGAAGGACCGATGGCCCTCCCCACCTGTTCTATGAGGGAACCTCAACAGACCTGACCTCGAAGGATTGCTTGCGGGTGGTCATAGCTGCTCTGAGTAAGATTCTAATGTCAGCCGCTGTCAGAATACCTGAAAGCAAATCCTGAATCCACCACTCTAGAGTCCTGCCTTGGAAGACAAAAGAAAAATGAGGAATCCAATAGAGGGATGCTTTTGGAAGCCCTCGTCAAGAAACTCCAGTGGACTCTCATATGAAAATATAAAAATTGCCCTGTTCTGACTTTTTTCTAGTTCCCTGTCTAGAACTTGTAATGCTGATTACTCTTGCCTTTACTTCTCCTTCACATCTCCTATTCAC